GGCCTGCATTGGCACTATCTGTCGAAATTGCCAAGCCCGCAATTGTTTAGAAAGCAAGAACTCCAGCTGCCCGGAAGCGCGAATTTACGATCAATCAAGGACTCAGACACAGATGAGCTAGCAAGCTGTCCTGGAGGGCGTCAACAAGCCGATAGTTGGATGAGGTGAGTATCATGAACGCTTCTCTGTACATACCTGTGCACGCACGCCGGTACATGCAATTGGATGTATAAGATCAATGATCCTGTTTGCGCACGCCTGCGGATGAACGTCGACAAATGGATGGGGTGTGTGTTATGATGTCTTTGTGCGCATACCTGCGTACGCAAGCCGCTAGCCAGAGAGACATCTTGTACATACACACATGCTATCCGACTTTAGGTATGCGCAGGTGTGCGCACGAAGACATTCATTATGTATGCCCTCCAACTACACACACAGGTGCGTGCAGGCGTATGCAGAGAGGTTCCGACTACAGATATGCGCAGACGTGTACATAAAGGCATTCATTATATATGTCATCCAACTATACTTATGCGCAGGCGTGTGCAGAGACATTCTTCCATCACTGATGTCATCAGTGACAATGAATGCCAGCGATAATCGCTCTGACCGACCTGAGAATGCATCACCTCCCTCGTTTGCTTGACGATCCCTCCCTCAGTCTGGTCAATTCAATGTGTTGGATATGCTGAATGCCGTGAATGACCGATAGAGACGCTTCCCATGACGAGTGACATGTTGTAGGTCTGTCGGTAAGGATGACTGCGGAGCAGCTCATCTAGCCGGAGACTCAAGAGAAGGACCTGCCGATGTTGTAGCGTCTACTTGTCGCAAAGGAGGTCATAATATGTCTGAGCTCCGAATACATCACCAGATAAGAGAGTGAAGACTTCAGTCATGCCTTAGTGTCACCCACCCACACGCAACCACGTGCAATGCATCCGTGGCGGGAGGTCGACCCATTCGGCGACCACGACTTTCTAGGCCACAGGAGCGGCCAGCGAAGTGTGAGACACAACAGCATGCGCAACCTTTTCTGCTGCATCCTGGCTGAGTCGGATGTCGCTGCACACATGGAGGTCTACCTGCAGAATCTCGACGTCACCCCACCAGACAACGACCCCAACAGCCAGCGTATGGACATCTACTGTGTAATCGGAGGCCAGGGATCCCTTCTGGACTTCACCATCACCCACACCTGCCTACCGGACGCCTCCCCCATCCGCTTTCACAGAGACGTGAACTGGCGCAATGCTCAGCTTTCGGGTGGGAAGGCACCCGCCCTTGCCGACAAAGCCAGGACAAGTACGGCCTCACTGTCCAAGCCAGAGGCTTCCGTTCTGTCCCCCTTGCCGCAGATACATTCAGCCGCTGGGCGCAAGCGATCCTTCCCTTCCTCAAGACGCTCGCCAAGAGGAGACCACGCCCTTCGGCCATCCCAGCACCCGAAGATGTAATTTTCCGAGAGAGCGTCATCAATCATTGGAGCCACCTCCTGTCCGTGGAGCTGATGAAGTACAATGCACTCCAGGTGGCCAACCGCTTTCAGAGAGCCGTAGCCGCGAGGGGACCTGCTAGGGCCAGTACTTTTGCGGAGCACTTCATCAGCCGATGCCCTTACAGGTCTCACACAAGGCCCCTCTTCCGTGCGTGAATCTGTCTGGCACTGCATGCCGTTGTGCATACAGTTGCATGGACCGTGACTTTTGTGTGTATCTGCTTTGCATGGTTGCTTCCCTGTAATACACGGCATGTGAGTATGCATCTGCTGCTGCATGCCCTTGTATGAAACTTAAGACGGTCACTCGTCGACCCTCGCTTACTTGACGGCTCATCACTTCTAAGTTTTAGGCAAAAAGGATCGTTGAGCAAACAAGGGGCGAGAAATGGTTGTCTTGAGTCTTGACCGAGAGTACCAAAGATCAGATGCATTAGCAGACACGTTGCAACCAACGCAGGTACGCGTGGAACAAATATTCAAGCGAGAACAACAACAGCACGCGTGGCAGACAAGCGACACAGACACGCAGAGAACAGACAACAAAAAAATCGCATCCACAAGGCAGCTAAACGACGCAGATACATACCGAGCAAACACGCAAACAAACGACACACTGCATATACGTCAACTTCTTCTCGGACAGCAGTTGCCCGGCTGTATCGTCATAGCTCGGCACACGAGCCTCGCTGAGCCCCCCGTTGACGTCGTCTATGAAGGCACCCACAAAGTCATCCGAGAAATCCTCTTGCAGTCTGGCAAGGACAGGGTAGAGGCCCAAGCAGAGGAAGAAGGGGCCTGCCGCGTCACCTGCTGAGTGCCCTCCTGACTTAGGATGGACTCGATGCGGCCATCCTCCATTCCATAACACAGCTCGGCCGGGGTGCCGCAGAACTGCCAAATAAAGTCCACGAGGGAGGGCCGCTTTACGCTGAGCTCGTTGAGGATCGCCTGGCGGTCGAAAATGGTGTTGAATGAATGCATTCTTGTGGTCCAGCGTCACGAGCAGCTGGTGTTCCGCAGCGTCTCTCTGTGTCTCGATGAAGGCCTGGGCAGCTCGAAACATTTCTCTCCACCAGCTGAGGTCCCTACTACAAACGGCTGGGTCAAGAAATTGCCCTCAAACGCGAGTGTGTTGTCTATGCAAATGGTCTTCGTCACCCAGCGGCGAACGACATTGCCAACAGCGATCGGTCGGGCCCTCCCACTGTTCTTCTCCGGAGCGAAGAGACAGGCGGTGGCGATGATCTTTGGTAGGAATGAAAAAAGACTCCAGGACCCCTCTTGCTTCGGTTCTCATGTATTGAAACCTGGTTGGCAAGAAAAGATAGTATCAGGCTGCCTGCCCTCACATCCAACACGGGAGAAAGGGAGAGAGAGAACGCTTAAATAGCGCAACGGCAGACGGGCAGAGTCCGACGATCCGTCATTCATGCAACAAGCTCGTTAGCCATCACGCATTCACTCAGCAGACATGCCAGCTCCATCCTCAGCGCCCGCCTGGCGGACATGCCAGTGACGCCGGCCACCACGCACACACAAACTCGCACCACGCGCCAATGCAACAGACAGACGAGCACGCACCCACCCCATCACCTGGCTATATGACTTGTCTTTCCAGCCAGCTTTCGTACGCAACTGCTCAACCAAGCGGCTAAAGGAACCATTGGCCTGTCTCTCCCACACCCCATCCACCGTGACGCACAAAGGGTGAAGTGAATGGACCGGTCCTCGACGACGCGCAAGTAGTCGGCCCTCTCGCGTCTGGCTGCCGAGGCGAGGACAGAGGCGGTCGACTGGTTGGGTTGCGGTAGGAGGGCGCGTCAGCGTTTGTCACGCAAAGGTCAAACGACGCGTCCTTTTGCCGCTCCCACACCCCTCGCACCACCATGTCGGCCAGCACCCCTTCTGCCCCGTCCCCTCCTCCTCGGGCTCCACGATCCACACCTCCTTCCTGACCGCCGACTCCCCCCACGCCATGGCGGACAGGTCGCACAAAACGTCCAGCACCTCGTTGTGACGCCGAACCACCAACCCACCCACCGCGCAGTTGAGGGCGTGGTCGAGCGAGTTGGTGGCCCCGCAGGCGTTGCAGTGGGAATCCATCTTGAGAGGCTCGTAGCCGTAGCGGACGGCCATATTGTCGCGGAACTCAGCGCGTGTCAGGTCGGTGTGGTCCTCGACATTGGGCCGACACGTCAGCCAGCCCGCTGTCTTGGTCTCGATGGCTCGACGGATCGTTCGTCGGCGCCCAGGGGGCAGCTGCTCACACACGGGAGAAAGAGGCTGACGTCAAAGGGAGGACAATATATTCGCAAAGGAATGACCGTCCTCCGAGGATATGAGGGGTTGCGAGTATACTTGATTAATTCATGTGCGGGGTGCACATTCTCACAAAGCATGCCACAGAGGCATCAGCATCCGATGACAGCAAGAGTCAAGGCGAATTGCGCACTACTTATCTAGTTCTTCACTAAGTACCTTGTCCTTCACACAGACTTCCCATGTAGGGTCAACAGACCCTACCCGTTTCCTATCTTGTGCGTGCAGATCCCTCTCTTGTACAACGTCCACATGCAAGTAGATGCATGGACAGGTAGCATTCTGGTTCTTCTCGCCAGTATCTCCTCCATCACCTTCCCGCACAGTTTTCGTTATACAGCCACAAAGTGCGCTTGTCCCGTAGCCCTTCGGCATAGATTCCACACTGTGCATCTTCGGGCAAACGAGAAATGCAGGTGGAAGGAGAGGCGGCGGGATGTAACGCCGCCTCAATATGACGATCGTCTTTCAGGGTGCCCTCTTGTATCTCGATTTGTTTTCCTTCTCTCTCACTGAGCTCAGAGCAGTGGCTGCAAGAGGTGGCGTATGCTCGTTCTGTTTCGCCGGCCAAATGAAGTGGGCACATCCAAGAAGGCAGACGGCGAAAGTGAAAATACGCGTTCAAGAGGGGGACGTCACGGACTGGTGGTAATGAAGTGACAGCGGACAACAAGAATGGGTAAAAAAGCTGCAGCGGACAACAAGAATGCGGATTTGTGGTAGCCTTTCTTATGCTTGTGCCTCTCACCTTGACCCATCTCGGTGTTGTATGCTACTGCTCTCGGTCAGGGCTGGGACCTTACCACAGGCAACGTTGCGTAGGACCACCTCACATCGCATGGATCGCTGTCTATCCTTCATTCAGAACACAATCCCAAAGCAAGTCACCATTTAGACACAGTATCCAACTACAGGCATGCGCAGGCTGCGCAAAAGAAAATACATGTTTATGATACACGGTATTGAACTGAGGAAGCCGAAACATGGCGACAACTGCACACACATAGATCCGTACACATCCATACATATGGATCAGCGCATGTGTGTGCAGCATACCTCTACTTTGAGATTGCGGCTGCTGGTCGTTTCGTCGTCATCGCTCTCATCGATGTCTATGTGAATGATGACAGTGGAGAGTGGTCTTTTCACCTGTCACGGATTGCAGAGCTGTGTTCATGTTGCCTGATGATGCGTTTTATGGACGTCACCACCGTATATGACTTGTTTATCTCACTGAAGTCAAGCACTTTGGCTCTGGGACCTAGCGCCCAGCTAATCCGGTTATTCAGCTGATACTCGGCAAGGTCCTCACCGGCCTTTCCAAACATACAATGCATGCTTTGTGACTTGTGTGTGTTTTCATTGTATGATTGGTCTGCTGGTCGTGCAATATTTCTGAGTCTGCATCTGCTGCTGCTTTCTCCTGTACGAGACTCAAGACGAACACTTGTCGCCCCTCGTTTACCGAAACATCTCATGGAGGTCGAGTGTCTGTCAGTTTTTGCATGAAATGGCCTGGTGGTATGCGAGAGTTCTAGTTTCTCGCTACGAACTATATAAACTACTCAGCGTTGCCTCAGGTCCGTGTGTGTGTGAAACGCAGTATGTGGAAGTGAGGCAGCCATCAAGTGGACTTGAGCTGGTGGCGGCAGGACTGGATGTCGCAAGACGTTAACGCATAGCGCAACGGCGAAATGTGTCCATCAGTCCATCATGAATGCGTACATAGACAAATCAGTCAATCAGCGATAAGCATGCCAGCCCCATCCACCGCACAGCCGAGCGCACCACCCAGTGCCGCCGGCCGCCACTCACACATCAGCTCACACCACGCGCCAATGCACTGGATGTCTGATGGGCTTTAAGAAGATAAAGGCCTCCTATTGAAATATCATACTTGTACCATGAGTCGAGCAACAAGTTCACCGACATACAACACATCCATGTTCGTTCACTCACATGCCCTCCGATAGTAGTGTTCTGTAAAATACCACTACATCAGTCAAACTACGGACCGATTTGCATACTCCAGAGTTTATCCAGCTGATACGTATTCGTCAGAAGTAAAAACTCAGAAGTCAGTCCCTAGCGCTATCGTACTGGCGTAGTCCTTTGGTACCATAAATGTGACCTCGGAATGAAAAGGATTGTTCTTATAGAGAGCTTCCC